TTTAAATAGAACACTCCCCTAAACATGCTTTACACATCACTGCAGGCTCTCTARCGTGCAACTACACAGATTAGCAAAGACAGACACAGGGCTCAAAGGGGCCTTCTGGAGTGTCTTGACCAATCTGCCAATAATTTATGCACATGCTAAGAAACAGCATGCGATGAAAAAGAGGTTTCACCTGCAGTGTTAGCTCAAACCAGACAGATACAAGGTGGACAACAATTGCTACTGAAAGAAAATCAGTAAGGTTATAAATCCCATGTTATAAACATATGGCATCTACTAGAGCTGRAACAGCACTACACAATAATGTTCAAAACATGCTGACAACAGAGGACCAACCAAGCCAAAGCACAAACTGGCCACAATTGAAATTAAAGACAACACTAAAGAATGCTGGAACCCAATCTCTGGGAAGTAAACAAAATCTTTTCCTGTCCAACTTGACTGTGGGCCAAAACACTTGGAAAACTATTGCTTCTTTGAAAGAAACATTTTGCACACAATATCTTGTAATGTTTTACAGGAACAGAACACGTGCCTTTTTTGATTCCATGAATAAAAATGTGAATGAAATACACAGAGTCAATGTCCACCTATCTGTATTTAGTATACATGTATAGTTATGCTGTTTATTTTTTTTAATGTGCTTATTTTTATAATTTATATCTTTTCAGYAGACAATAGTTAAGTCCCTGATACTTTACTGTCAACCAAAATAAGCAGGATACTGGCTGCTAGCACAGGAAAAAAACAGTTTCTCCTGACATTATTTATAGATGTAGCTCTTTATCATCATGTACTTTCTAAAAGTGGATTATCCACTTTTACCTTTCAATCAGAAATGGTATTTAYGGTTTGTAAACAGGTGATGCAGTCATACAAGGACCCTCTTTAAAAGGAGTTTTTTCTAATTCAGGTACCTCGTTGTTCCTAGGTAGAAACTCTGTTTCTAGTTGTGATGGTTTTTGTTTGTCGAAAATGAGAAYAATGGCAATTTAAACCATTTTATTTGAGACAGGTACACAGTTATCCAATCAAGCTGATGGAAGAAGGGGCAAGTGTACGTTGAATCACAGAATCATGGAATGGMCTKGGCTGGAAAGAATCTAGCAACAGCTGCTTGACCTCACCTTCTGCACAAGGCATCCATGGGATTCCTCTGTCATTGTTGCTAAAATGTCAGATTTTTCCATGTATTTTTTTTCCCTGACAGTAAAACAAATGATAAAATAATGACAAGAAAAAATGATAAAAAATAACTTTGTGGAAGGGTTCATAATTAATTCGGTAAAAGCAAGAGAATCAGAAATCAGTTACTCATTATTACCAAGTGAAAACATTTCTTTCTGCCATCTGCAGGATCTGTGCTAATTCTGTACTGTGTTCTTCTCTATTTATATTTATTAGAAAAGTGTTAACATTTAATCATTTTAAAATAGAAGGCTTTTATTTTTTCCCCTTATCAGGTGCTACTGTGGAAACTGGTAGCACAGCACTGGGGTGAAAAGATGGCTAAATTAAGTATGGTACATTCAGATTACACCTATTTATTTTCATTTGCAGACTTACATGAAACAAGGTATTGTAATTCAGGTTTTTCTCGAGTCTCTGGAAATTACCAGAGGCTGCAGGSCATGCCAACATCTCTATTTCTATCAGAGCATTTCACTTTTTCACACATGTATATATATTCATGGGTATACCTAATTTTATTCATGTTCTTCCAGTAAAAACCTGTAACTGTTGGAAGTGTTTCTGTAAGAATAATCTTTCCATAACTTGGGAAATATTTGCTGGGCATTAACACCACTTAATTTCATAACAGCCAGGCAGCACASTTCCCTCAGAGCTTCTTCATGGGAGCCTGAACTGAAACCATTTCTTTGACATGAGAGAGCCTGGAAGCTCTAACACTTTGCTATAAGGTTGAATTTGTGCAATCCAGAAATTTGAGCATGGTAATGTTTTCCAGTATTAGCCCAAGACTTTGGTCACCGAGGAGGAGAAAAAAAATAAAGGAAAGTGAAAAACTGTTTTGGAAAGATTATGGCAGAAAAAAAATCTCTGGAAAAGAGGACATGCCACAAATGGTGCTGAAGGCAATCCTGACAATCAAGGAGCTACTGGGATAGAAAGCTGGTCTGCAGGTTTAAATACCCTTCCAAAACCAGTCTTGAGATTGCCAGAAATTGAATTTATAATCTCCTCAGAGAAGAGCAACAAGAAGGAAGAAAATGTGCATGTTTGAGGAAGGAACTAGTATCAGAAYTTTCGCCCTGCTGGGCAAGTGCTTCACGGTACTTGGGGCAGGCAATGAATGCTTCACTACTGCCAGACAAATTGAGCTGCTAAATAACCWCTCCAGGCCATATTTCTTCCCTTGCAGCTGAGTGCCTGCTCAGAGTGATTCACACCTTCATCTTGCCAGATGTCTGGACAGGTCATTTACACTTGATAGGCTCAGTTCCCCATCTGTACAACAGAGATAATRACACTTCCCCACCTAAGAGAAGTGCTCAGAGGACAAATGTGGATGACTATTTAGGGGCAGGGATGTCAGAGACTGTATGAATTTCTAAGGCAAGAACTTTGTATCCTCTCTAAAAAGTAACAAACAAGAGCAGCTTTTATATAGACAGGATGCACAATGAACATGAGATAGAAAGACTCAAGGTATTATGTTGACYCCCAAAACAGACATTTGTTATTATTTTTGTTATTATTTTCTCTGCATCAGCTCCAGGCTGTAGTGCCCCTACTGAAATAATTACCTTTYTGCCACCTCAGCCCAGGAAGGCTGACGGAAAATATGAGGAATTTCTTTTATTTTTCCTTATGCCTGCCACCAAGTCAAATCTTTTCATTATTGAGGGAGCACCTGCAGGAGGCAACTTTCCTTCCGTTTCCCAGAAAGGACAGCTAGGGTAGCTGTCACACTACAAGACTCAAAAAAAAAAAAAAAAAAAAAAAAAAAAAAAAACAAAGGAAAACTGATTCAGATGCACAACTTTTAACCTGTTTCCTGAGATGCAAGATGAGAGCTGCAGCTATGAGCTGTGCTTCGGAAGGAAGTTTTGCAGAAAAGTACCACAAACAGGTTTGCATTTTGAAAGCAAGGGCTGGTGATATGTATTCTGAAAGGCACAAAACATGGCTAGGGCAAGCAGTGGCCTTCTGGGATGCATTGGCCATTAAAAACAAACAAAAGACCCCAATACAAAAACAGGCTCCGGAATAAAATCTTGAAATACAACTGACTTTCATTCCATTCCTCAGGGTCACCACCTTGGTCTCCTCCCCTTTCATGGGATGCTCACCGTCCCTGGGAGCTGCATCTAACTGTACAAAGACAGATTACTGCCTACCACTGACTGTCAGTACYCACTCCTCTTGGTAATAACACTGAGAAATCAAACATCCTTTCTTTCTGTGGCAATTTAGGAAAATTTACCAGCATACTGTGCAATGGAACCAATGTAAGCAGCAGCCCAGCATTTTTCTTTAAATGACCTAATGACATTACGTGTTCCATCTACAGATGGCATGGGAAGTGCCACCGTGACTGAGGTTATTAGCACTTTGCCACTTACTACTCAGAATAAATAGGCAGAACGTTCCCTGGAGCCAGAATACTGACAACCTAACCAAGAGACAAACAAGGGTGTTGAATCTGAAGCAGTGGTTACACTTTATTAGATCTGTCAGTAATTCTGTCACTCCACAGGAGGCACGATCTGAGCTCATGTAACCCGTATCTCTGCCCCATTAATCCTGACTAACAAGTAGGAGGTGGTAAGGGTTGCAACTAAGAAACAAAATTAAATATAAAAAAATCTACATTTATTAAGCACCATGCAGTTTATTCAGATACCCTCAAGGAAGGAACCTGGACCCAGCCATAGGTTGTTTATCTAATCAATTGTATCCTAAATGAGGCCTGATGCCCAAGGATAAGTAATTTCTGCAGAAACATAGATGATAGATAACATRTACTCTGATGATTCTGTGACAGAAGAGACATTTTCTTACATATTTTAGTAGGAAAATCATAATGAAAATACCAGCATTGAAAAGAGGATAATGAAAATATTTTTGATTTGTAGCATTAAATTAATTATCACATTGATATTAGCAATCAATTGAAATGAAATCACAAAGTAAAAAATGTAAAATACATGATTTGAAATCACAAAGTAAAATATAGTAAAATATAAAAAATATAAATCACAAAGTAAAATATATCTTGCATATTAGGATAGCTTAAGGGAAAGGTGAAAAAAAAAACTCCAAACATTTCAGATCAGTCCTGTTGGACAGCATTCCTGTATTCYTGAACACCACCACCCCTCCCTTCTCTCTTGAATTTCATAAGGGAAAAAGTCCACACAATCTTAAAAAAGACCAGATCCTACCATGTCAATACAAGAAATGAACTGCCACTACCTGCATGCTCTGTGTAAAACACATAGCATGCTATGAAATTTCAGAAAAAAGGCTTTAGAAAATTACATCCACCTCTCCAACACAGTCTTCCATTTTCCTATCAGAACCTTAAAGAAGCAGAAAACCCCCAAACAAATCCTCCTTCTCACTATATCACTACATAGGATATAAAAGCAATGAGTAGCAGTTTCTAAGAATATTCAGTGAAATATGACTTCTGCCTGGCCAGCCCTACACCAGACAGGAGGGAGAGCAGAGGATTGCCACACAACACATCTACATGTGAGGCGCATTTCCTGCAAGAACACTCACAACGACCAAGGACAAMGTGAACCAGCAACCATAAACCATGCCTACATCTGTCAACTGCATGATATGAAAGCCATTCATACATTACAGAAATCCAAAGGCCTTGAAAGMTTTTTGTTATGGCAAATAAGATGGTAATGAAATAATATGCAATGTACAACATGTTGCTCAGCATGCAGCGCTGAACTGTGCTCTCAACACCCACAGAGAGTTTGAACAAAAAAATATTGAAAGATTCAAACCTGTGACCAGTTCTCTGATTTCCAAATCTGTAGTCTTGCGGAGTAACCGTACTAATGCTGGGATACCACCACAGTTTTTCAGAGCAATTTTGTTGTCATCATTTGCCTTCCCATATACCAAGTTTCTCAACGCTCCACAGGCACTACGGTGGACTTCTGTCATCCGATGGTCCAATAGGTCCACCAGTAAYTGTATTCCGCCTTGTCTTCTTATCTGAAACAGGCCAAAGTGATAACCACAAAGTTAGGGAATGAACACCAGTATTAATAAATGCAGTCCAGTGTAATTAAGCTGTGCTTTGTGAAGGCTGAGGGCTAGCAAAGATGTGCTGGTAGAACCACAAAGCTGCCACATTACATAGCTTTGATTGCTAGTATTATTTTTTCGGTGGCAACGTAACTGTACACTGATAAACCARAACCTCYGCAAAAGCAGCCAAAGTTAGTCAAGAGTGCTGCCTCATCAAGGTTTCTCATGGTTTGTCAGGGTTTGTCTTGGCAAGAGTTTCTCCTGTGCTGGAGAAACATCAGCTCCTTCAGAGTGTTACACATCATGTGCTAGTGAAAAAACCACAAGGCTACAGCAAACAAAAAAAAGCACTTAATGTCATAAAGCTTTTAGGAGTTCTGCCTTTACATTTAATTACTGGGAACAGGAACATCTACTGTAGTCTCAATAAGGACGTTATATCAACTAAATTACGATGAGCAAAGATGAAAAGGAGGGAGACACCAGAAACATAAAGATAAGGATGATAAATAAATCGTGGAAAGCTTGTTCTAACAAGATTGAGGGAGACCTTTAAGTGATGCAGGAACAGAAGTCTTATGCATACCTAAGGTGGCCTACAAAATAAATTTCTAATGTGATATCTTACATAAAATATCATTCTAAAAAAAGCACAAAAATCTTTGAGACAAATGATCAAGAAGGTCAGGAATACCAAGTACAATTTATTATTAAATCCATTTCAAACAAATACATCTTTTCTGTTCTGTGGCACTATTTGTTCCTCAAAGAGTAATCAGTCTTGGATCTAATTTTAAGAAACCACACAGATTCATAACTAACCTTCAAGGAGTATCATGCTTTAATTTCATAGTTATACAGACATCTTTGAAAAAGTCAAGAAGTTTCCCCATATGTGTAGTTGGCTAAGGCCCAAAACAGGCCAGGCACTTCAGCTGGCCATTTTACATTTARGACAACAAAAAAWTTGAAATATTTGTGAGGCAGTTTTYGCATAGGCAAGTGTTCTTGAGATTSTGCAGGGGAAGTCTTGGAAGGTGGAAACAGTTAAAGTACAATAAAGTCTATTAGGAATTCAAGCTTCATCAACTAACAAAATCTTTATGTAGAACCAATTTATGGCATTTCATGGATCTAAAATAAGCTTAAACAAGGCAAAATGCTGGGTCCTGTGTTACTGCCACAACAAGCCCATGCCAAGCTACAAGCCTGGGGAGCAGTGGCTGGAAGGATGGCTCTTGGAAAAGGAACTGTCTACRGCAAGCTGAGCATGAGCCAGCAGTGYCCAGGTGGCCAAGAAGRTCAMTGGCATCCTGGCYTGTGYCAGCAATGGTGTGGCCAGCAGGACCAGGGCAGGGATTGTCCCCCTRTATTTGGCACTGGTGAGGCCGCACCTCGAATCCTGTGTTCAGTTTTGAGCCCCTCACTACAACAAAGTCAYTGAGGTRTTGGAGYRAGTCCAGAGAGGGAATGGAGCTGGGGAAGGGTCTGGARCACAAKTCCCATGAGAAACAGCTGAGGGAGCTGGGGSTGTTCAGCCTGGGTATAAGGAGGCTCAGGGAACTTTATCAGTCTACAACTGACTGAAAGGATGGTGCAGCCAGGTGGGACTTGGTCTCTTCTCCCAAGTAACAAGTGGGAGGACAAGAAGAAAAGGCCTCATGYTGTGTCAGGGRAGGATYAGGTTGGATATCATGTAAAAATTCTTCACCGAAAAGGTTATTGAGCACTGGAACATGTTGTCCAGGGAATTGGTGGAGTCTACATCCCTGAAGGTATTTAAAAGATGTGGCATTTACTGGCGGACTTTACAGAGCTGAGTTAATGGTTAGACTAGATGATCTTGATCATTTCCAACCTAAATGATTCTGYGAATCTATGATTCACTTCAAAGAAAGTCTGATTCAGGCTTTGAGGTTCCAAAACTGAGTTATATGAAATTACTCACTCCTAAACCAGAAGTTCTCTCTTTTTTCTTCAAGTTTATTTGGCATATTCTTATTTCTTTAATAACAGCAAAACCAAAAAAAGAGAACAGCTGTTTAGTCAAAAAGAATATACAGCATGATGTTACAGTGTTAAATTAAGATATTTTAATGTCTGTACAGTTACTACACAGCTTTGATCTAAATGTCAAAGTGATAGYGCTTAAAGATAAACTAGGATATTTTCCCTTAAACAGAAATTATATCAGCACATCACATACAACTTTCTGAGTAATATGCAGGTCACCTTAAAGACCACAGCAGCTGGCACTATATGATGCGTGAAGAGATATGAATGGACACTGGTAAAATATATCAACTTCAGGCAGAACAGTTCACCAGTCTTTTTCAGTGTTTAYGCTGCTGCTGCTCAGAGAAACCATGACATCTTTCCATTTAGAAATGAGAAAAACAGGTCAAAAAGAAAAGGTGCTGCAAAATACCTCAYTGGTCAAATCTTTTCCATGTGAACAGGTTGACTTCATTTAAATAATTAGCTCATTTCTGAACCAGGAAAAATTTACCAAGTTTATATGGGAGAGGTGGGGGGGAGTGAGAATTGCTTGCTTTGTTTGCTTGGWTTTACAATCCATTACCATTTAACCTTCATATAAAAATACATTTGCTTCCCCTCCTAACCGGATTTTCAAAACCAAGCATGCTACAAGAAGAGCCACCTACATGACAAAACAGATGACATTTACTAAACAGACTAGGAACAAAAATTTATGCATCAATTCTACAAAAGGTGAATCAACCACTGAGCTTCACACTTCAACCTCTGAAAAGAAACAAGATCTGATAGAAGAGAGAATACAGTTAAAAAATATATGAGTTGCCTGGTGTGATGAGCAATATCAGGAAYGACAGAATGAAAACATGCCTGCTGATCTTTGTGAATTATATTTTTAAAGCACAATATGTTGAATGAATATTTTAATTGCTTTGCTGCTAAAAAAAATTAAGAATGAGAAGAAGTATTACTTGTAGCAAAAATCATACTGTGTCCTACAATTCTACAGACTCCAAGAACTCTGTCTCCATTCCAAGGGTCTCTGGGCCTATGCTGTTTTTCCCACTCTCCCCAWCAGACACAACCAAGTGGCATCTCGTGCTCCACAGCAGGTTATCCTGGATGCTCTCAGGTAGCAGGTTTTGCTATCTTGTGCTCATTTCTGAAGGGAGATGTGTGGTTCTGCTACATTCAGCCAGAACTGCTGAGCTGCACCTTCCCTTTCCAGTCATGGTAGCTGACAGCACACTGGTATTCAGCTCAGGCTGCTCCTCCTCCCAGGAACCTGAAGCCAGCAGCAGGCTGAAGTGATTCAAAGATAGTTTCTTAAAAGCAAGGGCATTAAATATTAATCTAAAATGCATTTCTGTCAGAGAAAAAAGGGTAATACAACAGAAATGAAACGGATGTTACATAACACTTTACATAACTTGACAAAATTTCTTAAATTTTACTGAAGAAAGAACCTATTCTTACCTGGGAAAGACAAGRTTTATTTTGCAAACTTTCTCTGAATTTCTAAGCTCAGATATTTGGCAGARTAACTGTGTCATGCAGGGAGAGATGGAGCTGATTGTTCACAACTGGGAGCTCAGTTTCTGATGCTGTTTTTTATCTGGACTACTCTCTTGCTTTTTTAGTTTTGTGGTTTGTTTTTTTTTTTTTTTACAACAGCTCTTTATTCACCTGAAGTCTCATCCCATCTTTGTGTTTCTATCACATATCTATATAGGTGTTTACAACTATACTCTACAACAGGTTTAACTGTGCCTGACAAATTGTAAGACTGTGATGGATGTTATCAGAATCTATTTAAATGTATGGAAATAGAGGCAAAGGAAATGAAATTATTTGTTCAAGTCCTTTTGAGAGCTAAGAGCCCCAGCCTGGAGGACAATTCTGATCTAGTCTCCCGAGGCAGATCTCAGCTGAGCTAATTTAGTCACAGCTCCAGTGAATTCAGCAGCGCTACTGCCAAATGTCTGGCCAAGAATGCTGGGATGGATGGATAAGCAGCAATTTGCACCAATGGGGCATCAAACCCCAATCTCTCAAAGGACTTYTGATAGATACTTCTGTCTCTTTCCTAACTTAAGATGAAGAGAACATTTCTTAATATAATATTTATTGACATATCAGTGGCTGCTGACTTGTTACATCTAGGAGGAAAAGAATAGAACATGCCAGAGTCTGTTTGCCTACTAAAAGCAAAGAAACAGTGGAGTACCAGCTTGTCAGGAGATCCTGRGGACCAAGTCTATTCTCACACAGACCAGCCCCAAAGTAGCTGCTTCTGAACTCAAAAGAATCACCTTGAAACTCAGAAGCACAACTGGGTTTTCCCAGTTGTATCTGCCCATGTATCTGCAATTCTTAAATGAATTGCATTGCCCCATCTTATCTCACAAAAAAAAATCCCAAAAAACAGAGTAGAAGGATTAACAATATTAACAAGGCTGAGTGAATCTGTGCTGCATTGTTTCTCATGAGTCTCTTMATCCATGGATACCATTAATTTTTGAAAGTTATTTTTTTCTCTTTTTTGTGTATGTGTTTGGAAGACGCTGTTAGAGAGCTGTTAAATACAGAACTGTGACTAAGAATCCATGCCAATCGAAGTGAACACTGAAAGAGCAGAGATTACATAAGGTTTGGGAAAAAAAAAGTTTCCATGGAAGAATGCACAGAGCTGCTTTCATCTGAGGAATCATGTGTTTTCTTTCACCAGGATATTTTCATAATTTCCTTTTAAGGTGGCTTTCTACCATTAATATCACTATCTACTTGTTGGTCAGATGCACTTGCTCTGGTCGAGCCCCATGATGCTACTGCACAGCAGACAGGACAGGAAAAGGTGCCAGACTCTCTAGCACACTCTCTAGACTCTCTAGATTGAAAAAAGTGTACTCACATCATCCAGTGAAGGAGTCTTCTTGTCTGGCATACTGTGAAGGTTTTTTTGTGTT